AGCTTGACCACACACCACAGACCCAGGTGGCCAGCACCCAGCCCCACAGCCGGGCACCAGGGCATTCCCACGGGGGCTGCAGCATCCCCACCACACGACTGATGAAGCAGCCTCTCCCCACAGTAGGAGGCAGCCAGGCAGGGATGGGGGAAGGGGAGGGAGCTCTGGTGCCCAAGATGTCCAGGCGAAGTGACACCCAGAACTCCCAGGGCAACCACAGCCAACGGGAGGGTTTCCCAGGAATTCTGTTGGCACGAACTTCCCTGTTTTCACTTTCTGCTGAAAATTGTTAGTGATTTTGCTTGAAACTTAGCCCCAAGCACCAGGCTCTTCTGGGGGGTGGGGGGAGGGAGGGACCAGACGAGAAGCTGGGGCCGTAGTCATTCCTATGTGTGGATGATGCTGCTGGACACACAGTAGGTGCTCAATGCACACCTGCTGAGCGAAGAAGAGGAACAGCCTCCACTCTGGGGCAGCCTGTGGATGGACCAGGACAGGGTGGCCTGGGGCGGGGAGACAGAGAAAGCTATGGGCCTGGGACACTCCTGGTCTGGCTTGGGGATGGCGCTGGCCAAGCAGCCGCTCATCAGAAGAGGTGGATGGCGCCGGTGCTGTTAGCCTCCAGCCCGGCCCCTGCCCCAGCCGCCAGCACAGCCCCACCTCCTCTAGGGAAACACAAGGAGGGCCCTGCTGTCCTAAGGACCCCTAGCTCACAGCACACCTCCTGCTGGGCCTTCACTGTCCCACTCAGTCCCCAGCAGCACCAAGGACTGCATTCTGCTCTATGGGCCAGGAGACCGAGACACACAGGGATGTAGTGCCTTGTGTGGCCTGCAGCTGTGCCGGCTGCGTAACAAGTAAGACCTGAGATGAGGGGTTTGTTCCCTCGCTCTCCTGAAGCCAAGGTCTCCGCAGAGCCACGTTCCTGCTGGAGGTTCCGGGAAGGTCCTCATGCCGAGGTCCCAGCTGTAGGACTGAGGTTCCCGCCTCTGCACCCGCCTCCTGCCCTCCTCCCCGGGCCCCTGTCACTGCCATGATTCCCTCTCACCGCCCCGCCCACTGGAGGGCACAGAGCTGCCAAGCCCCCCACCTCACCCCTGATGGCAAAGGCCCGGCCCAGCAGCCAGGCAAGTCCGCTCCTGGGGCCATTGCTGCTCACCAGGCTTCTCACGAGAAGGACCCTTGGCCCACGCGGTGAACAGGGTTCCTACCTGAAACCTGGAGAAACGTGGAGTGTCACACTCCTGTCCGACTCCTCTTCCTCCCGTGGTGACCCACACGTTGCCCAGCGGCCCCTCGCCCTGCCTCCCTGCAGACAGGGCTCGAGGCGTCTGCGCAAGCGGAGATGAGAGTCTGACTCGGGCACCTGGGTTTTGAAGCGTTCGTGAGAAAAGGAGAGTGACACATCTGCTAATTTCCTACACTGATTGCAGGCTGAAATGGTAACACTCTGATGGATGGGGTTACCCATAATGTGAACACTATACCTCCTTCCTTTTACTTTTCTAATGTGGCCACCAGAAGACCTAACATCTCACATGTGGTTCCCATTAGATTTCCATCCAACAGTGCGTGTCTAGAAATCACTATAAAACTTTCCACCTCCTGCCGATTTTATTAGAATCATGTATAATCCACACGTGAACACGTGGCCAAGGGAACTCTCCGTCGTTGTCACAATTAGAATTGGGGGGGCGGGGGGGGGGGAAATGGGTTTGATTTTTGTTTCCTTTTTTTCCTTTCGTTTTCATATTAAAAAATAATCTAGAAGAGAAAGACTTTGCGGCAGCCCATGGCCTAGAATTATTTTTCTGCCCAGATTCAGGCCTGAGCACCCAGCAGCCTTCTTAGTGACAACAGAAGCCCACGGGACGTGTGTGTGTGTGTGTGTGTGTGCGCGCGCACACACACACACACACGTGGGACACAGCAGAGCAGAGCACAGACCGAGGGTGTGCGGGGCCTGGCTAGTGAGTTGTCAGAGGAGGAAGTGGCGAAAATCAGCCAGGGACACAGAGAAAGATCAGCCATGGAGGGAGAGGCCCGGAGGTGAGGCGGGTGAAGACCCCTGGTTTCCAGCCTCGGGCGCAGGGCAGCTGTGTGTATAGTCGGCTGGTGGGCTGACCCCTAACAGACCTCCCGCCTGGTGGCTGCTCACCTCCAGGCCCAGGCCCGTCCCGTTTACTGCCGTTAGGGCCTCTGTCCCCTCCCTTCACCCCTTCTGTTGACCAGAGAGGATCGCATGGCCAAGCTCGTCTTGGGGGGACAGCCTACACCCCGATGTCACGGGGGCCCAGAGGGGCTCACTGAGCAACAAAGCATGTCTCCCTCAGTCTTTATCCTCGTCAGAGACCAGCGAGCCGGCCCACGTGCTCCCCACATCCACCAGCCCGCACGGTCCCTCACCACCGGGCGGGGAGAGCACCAGTGCCCCAACACGGGACCTGGGAGAACAGGGCACAGACACCGGCTCGCAGGGAGACGGTGACAGGGGCCATGGGGCTGGGGATGAGATGGCAGAGGGCAGAGCCAACACTGGTCCTCTGCTAAGTCCTTTCAGATGAATTGATTACTTTGGAACATACATCTCACTGTGACCTCGCTGCATGAGGGAGACCACACGGCGACATGGACCACACGCATCATGGCAGCATGAGCTGGGGCTCCCCAACACTGCGCAGACCCGAGGCCCCCTCTCCCCTGACTCCCTCCACGACGCCCCCTCGGCTGAGCGAGCTGTGGCATTCTGGCTGAGACAGCCGTGGTGGAAGACGTGCTGCAGAGGAAGCAGCCAGCCCAGGCCAGGCATGGAGTCCTGGGAGCCCCGGGCTGTGCGGGCCGGCCAGAGGCAGCAGAGGGGACAGGACCCTGCCCTGGGGCGGGGGGAAGGGGGTGTTCCAGACAGGGATTTGGAAGACAGGGAGGCACCATATTCCCTGACACATTCCCGGAGCCTCGTCATGCCTTCAAGAGCCCGTCAGTGGGTCCTGCCACCGTGGCTCCGAGTGTGCAGCCTGTGGTGGGTTCGGAAGTAGGGAGCAGGTGTGGGTGGGAGCTGGGGTGTCTCAAGGGCTGATGGAGGCTGACTCTGTTCTCCCCAAAATCTCTCCCTGAATTTTCACTTAAACCCCAGGGAATGCAACCAATTAGAGATTTTGGTTTAAATAGGATCCTAGTCTAAAAATGCAAATGTACATGCACTATTAAAAAGCCACCCGTCAGTCCTGGCCAGGTGGGCTCAGTAGATAGAGTGTTGGCCTGCGAACTAAAGGGTCCCGGGTTCGACTCCGGTCAAGGGCACATACCTTGGTCTTAGGCTCCTCCTCAGCCTGGGCCCTGGTCCAGGCTTTTGCAGTAGGCAACCCATCAATATGTTTCTCTCACATTGATATTTCTCTCTGTTTTTCTCTCTCTCTCTCTCTTCCACTCTCTAAAAATCAATGGAAAAATATCTTTGGGTGAGGATTTTTTTTTTAATCCATCAGTCATTCACACATTAGTATAAACAAGTACCCCTCCCCACCCCACCGCCCCGCTTCTTCGATCTCAGCCTTTACTATGGCAGCTGAAGTGCAGGTCTGAGCTCTGATGAGGCTCTGAGGAGGACACACCCGGCTGGGTGACCGGAGGAAGCCCACCTGGTGCAGCATGCTCTCCGAGGTAGACCAGAGTTCTGAGTACAAATGAGGTGGCTTTTTTTTTTTTTTTTTTTTTTTGAAACAAGTAACTTGTAGTTGGAGAACTTCCTGTTCGTTTTTTGGAAAGCATCCTTCAAAATCCAAACACTTAAATAAAAATAGCATCTGTTAAGACATGGCTGTCGAAGAATCTGCAGCGGAGGACTGAATTCACGGAACATCTCTCCAAAGGGCACAATGCGAGCAGTGGTGCACACACAGGCTCTGACAAAGCACACCCACATGTGAGCGCACACATGCACATGCACACACATGTGCACATGTGCACACACACACACACACACACACATGGTTCACTGCTGGTGCAGGCTCCTTCAGCCCTAATGGCCCCACGCTAATCCATGCCCTTCCCTCGGACCCTCGTTCCAGCCTTCCTTGGTGGAGTCTGGGAGCTGAGGAAGCACTGACCTGTTTCACTTTGATTTGATCATGGATGCAGGCTTGTTTTCAGCCCCCATCCTTTTCCTCGGCGAATGTTCTTTGTTAAAAGAAAGCTAGTTGAGAGCACTGAGCAGTAACCCACTAAATCCTCCGTGCGGCCATGCTGCTGGCACCCACACCACACTCTGTGCCTGCGGCCAGTCACCGCCCGCCTGCCCAGCTCCCCGGCCGCACACGGCCAGAGCAGTTAATGCTGAGATACCTCCGGGACGCGTCTCACCTGCTATTTGTGGCTGACCCTTCACATCATCTCTCAAAAGCCTGGAGCAACAGAATCTTGGAGGTAAGGGGGGTGGACAGAGGGATGCAAATAAAAACTTTGCAAAGAAACATTGGGTGGTGAGTGCATTTTTGAGCCTTTCTTTCTGGGAGCTGAAGGCCAGAGAGGCCAGGGGTCAAGACCACACGTCCCAGAACAGGTGTGGCCATGGGGTCTTGCCCACCATGGAGTACCACACGTGGCTCCCGCAGGCCCCCACCACAGCTTTACAGTGGCTCTGAGACACCTTCGCGCCCAAGAATGATGCCACCTGGCGAGAGCTGTCTTCTTCTCTTGGGACAGTTCGCAGCACCTGGCCAATCGGTGCCCGTTCGAAGGCACGGGGTCCCCTTGCTCCGTGGCACCCACGCTGTCCTGGCAAAGGGGCCTCTTGTCCAATAAAACAAGTCCTACCTTCCTTGTCTCCGTTTTTAAAACCACAGGTTATGTCCCAATGGCACAGCCCCAACCCCAATGCTCCTGGGTCCTTCAGCCACGTCCACGGCTGAGCTGCCTTTCCCTGTGGTGCCCGGACTGTCAGTCCCTCTGCCAGGGCTCCTGCCTTCCCGCACGCACACCGTGGCTGTGATCACGCCCAGCAGAGCCTGATTCCCTCTGTTCTCGGGCTATACCCTAAGCACAACTTGAGCGAAAATCCACTTCTTAATCATATTTGTGGGAGTTAATATAACCTTTTTTCCTCAACATTTCCTAGGACTCTCAGGCATGCCTCGACGTTACTCAGATGTGACCCTATCCTGTACCCATGGCCCGGGGCTGCGTGGGCCCCGTGTTCCTGACACCCAGGGCACTGGGTTTTGGGGAAATGAGCCAGTCCCCAGCTCTACAAAGTCACGTGTCTGCATGCTGAGTTTATTCAGATCACAGATGTGTCTCCTGGCGTCAGGGCCGCCGCTCAGGCCACTGTGAGACACAGCTGCCAGCGGTGGGGGGGTGCTCGGTGCAGGGCCGAGGGGATCGCCCGCCCGCAGGCCAGCAGGCACCCGCGCCCCGGGCCCCCGGGACAGGCCGGCAGGTCACACCTCTCTCCGTCCAGCTGCCTGTCGCCGCCTTCCGCCTCACGGCCCACGTGGCCTCCGGTCCCCCAGCCGGACGCGAGCTCTGCTCCGCGGCAGCCCCTCGGCTTCTGGACTTCGCGGACTTGACACTCGTTGCTGACGGTCCAGACATCGCGGCTCGGAAGCCACACGGGACCCGTGCTGGCGGCGGGGAGCCGCGCGTCGCCAGCGCAGACAGGCTGAAATTTACAGCCGTGACCCGGGCCCCGTCGGGCCTGTGACAGGGTGTCGAGTGACTCACTGCTTAGTCACCCACTCGCCGGGCCAGGTTGGGTGGATGAGGAAGCGCAGCAAAGGTCAGACAGTAGGAGTTTGTCTAGACGCCCTATTTTGGATTCCGCACTCGGTGTTTCTGTAGCAACCCTCGCAAACACCGGTATTTTAGCAATGGTGTGAAAAGCGCCGTTCTCCGGGGCCGCTCTGCCCACGGGCCCTGGTCACCCTCTGGAGGTGGCGGGAGACCCCTGGGGAGGCCGTCCCCGTGGCCGCGCTGGCGACGCCCGGCCCCGGGAAGGACGCGGGAGTGGGAGGAGGACAGGCCTTCGCGAAGCCCGTCCAACGTCCCCGGGAAGCGTGCCCAGAAGTACAAGTGGCTTATTTTTCCTGCGGGCCTGATGGGGAGGCTGGTTTATGGCCCGTCCCTTAGTCATCTCTCCTGGGTTTGAGGCAGACCTTCTGAGGACGGAGGAGGGGATCTCACACGTGTGACCGAGGTGTCGGGAACTGCAGGCCACGGGAGGGCGGGGAGGAGCGGGGGCCGGGAGCAGAGCGGGGGGCGGCCCCCGAGCCTCTCCGTCTCCCGCCTGAGGTTCCCGGAATTGAACGATGCCTTCCCGGGGCTCTGCGCGTCTGGGGGCTGCTGGCTTCGGGCGGGGCAGGGGGCAGGGTGCTGCTCAGCACCCACACGGCCCAGGACACGGGACGCCCGCTGCCGAGCCGTCCGGCCCGCGTGTCGGCGCGTCAGGGTGCGACCTGCTCCGGAGAGCCGGGCCAAGTAATAAAAGAGAAAAACAACCTGACAAGTGAAACGGTCCTGAAGGGCTGGCTGCCTTTCTGACATTTTCATTATTATTGTTTTTACTGCTACCAGACTCCCTTCTCTCCTCACCCCACTCGGACGCCGTCCAAGCCGGCCTGCTGGGACGCCTTCCTGCAGCCGCCCGAGGAGGTCTGCCGGGCTCGCCACCTGCCAGCTCCGAAGGCGCCGCCCGCCCCGCCCCCCTGCCCCGCCGCCTGACGCGCTAGCGGGCGGTGGACACGAGTCGGGGCATTTAGGAAAGCGGACTGCGCGCCACCCGGGGGCACCGACGGCAGGGGCTGGCGGGGGCTCGGGGACCTGGGTCCCGTCGTTACTGCCCCTCCTCACACCCAGGGCTCCCTGTGCGCCTGGGCCTGGCACGCTACAGAGCCGTTCTGCAGAAGCACCTGGCCGCAGCCCACCTCGGGCTCTCTGAGGACACGTCCAGGCCGGGATGCAGAAAGAAGTCCTCCTCGCTATGGAAACCAAGAAGGTGCCGGACCTTAGGAGCATGGTGACCCCCCACAGGGCGGGCTGGGTGGGTGAGCCGGCCGTCGGCTCGGCTCTGGCCATGGAGCCGGGAGAAGGAGCTCCCACGTTAGTAGCGCTGGGACCGTGGGAGCGGAGGTGGCTGAGCTGGGCCCCTCTGTCTAGGGAGGAGGTGGCCAGGGCTGCTCCCTCTGCGAGCGTGGACCAGGGCTCCGCGCACATCGGGAATGAGGCCGCAATATGCCTCAGTCTGGACCCCAAAGAAGGAACCCCGAGACCGAGGTTTGAGTCAAGGTCCGTGTCCGACCCCACAAAACACGGCTTCTCAAGGAGGTGCCCGGCGTGGGGCAGAGCCTGGCCCACACGGCGACTCTGGAGGCCGCGCTGAGCTCCGGGGGTGCCGGGCGCTCGCAGGAGGGGCTGGGGGGCGCCCGGCCCCGTCGCCGGTGATGTCCGGTCCCTGCGCCCCTGCCAGGACCGAACAGGTCCTCTCTCACTAGCAGTGGTAACGCCCGGGTATGTGCCCTTGACAACCACTGGTCTCGTGCCACGGGGGAATTAGATATAATTTGATAAAGGTTTGAAAAAAACGTATGCAGACTTGGACCTTAAAATGGTGAGCAGCTGCCTCTGTCCCTTGTCCTCACTGAAACCCCTGGGAACAAGAAGAGCTCAGAGAAGTGAAAATACAAACATCATGTTTTCCCCGAGTTGGGGGACACAGGAAAGAGAGCCCACCGGTCCTCCAGGGAGGACTGCTGCAGGAGGGCTCGGGCAGGGCTCCGGGACATGGGCTGCTCTGGGGGGTCACAGATGACACAGAAACCCCCACAGCGGCCTGTCGGTGAGGCGGGGAGGGGAGGGCTCCCACTGTGACCCCTGCAGGGCTGACCTCTGTATCTGGGCAGAAGTCCGGGTGAGCAGTCCCACCAGGGGCTCAGAGGGGCTTTGCTGACCCGGGAGCCCTCCCTTGATTCTAGAACACCCTTTGGCCATCACCCGCGTGAACTCCCGGCAAATGGAAGGTCTAAAGCACATGTGTCAAACACAAGGCCCGCGGGCCAAATCCGTCCCGCCAGGCCTTGCAATGTGGCCCGCACCGCGCTGTCATCACTGCACTCCGCTGCGTTTCCATCACAATGACAGTTTATGACTGTTCAGTAAACCATTCGGCCCGCGATTTAGGCTGGATTTTAGATTTTGGCCCCTTCTCTGATTGAGTTCGACACCCCTAGTCTAAAGAGAACTTGCCATGTTCAACAATGATCGATAATCAAAAAGGGTCCGCACAAAGACACTAACTACAAGGCCCTGGCGGTGTGGCTCGGTAGACTGGAGTGTGTCCCACACACCGAAAGGTCTGGGGTTCAATGCCCAGTCAGGGCACTTACCTAGGTTTCGGGTTCAATCCCTGGCCCTGGTTGGGGCACGTGCAGGAGACAATTAATCAATGTCTCTCTCTCTCTCTAGAAAAGAAAAGAAAAAAAAAAAAAAAAAAAACATGGAAAATATCCTTGGGTGAAGATTTTAAAGAAAAGGGAACATGAGATGGAGAAACAAAAGGCAGACAAAGAATGAACACTGGTGTTGAACATGTTTTGTTTTCTCCTCACTCTGGGGGAACACCGGAGGAGGCCTCCCAGTGCGGAAGGATGTTCCCTGAGTCCTGACTCAGCCTGCCTCTCCTTCGTCGGTCACAGGGGCAGCTGAACGGCAGGCCCGGGTGCTGGAGGGGTCCAGCCCCGGAACCTGTGGCCTTCCTTCCTCCTGGTCCTGACGCTGGCTTCGCCCAGGCCCAGGCCTGTCCTTTCCATCCCTCTGCCTGTCTGGTCCCCAGCAGGTCTCACTCAAGTCCAGGGTTTGCCCACCATCTATCAATAGATGCAGCTAACCCACACCCTGCGTCCAATTGCTCACCTGGCTCCTCCTCTGGGGTGTCTCCAAGGCACCCCGTATTCAGCTCCAATGCCCTGTCTTGTCTGCACCCAAGCAGAGCCTATTGGTAACCTGCCTGTGATGGGTCCCTCTCCAGCCTGTGCTGGGACCCCGGGGCCCGTCCCTCTCCCGGCCTGGCTCCAGGCATCTCTCTGCAGGCAGGTCAGGCAGGGAGGAAGAGCCCGCCTGGGCTGGAGAAGGCAGTGCTGGTCGCTCTCCCCGTGGCCGTGGGTTGTGAGGGCCCAGCTGGTATTTCATCCTCGTGTTCGGAGTCCTGGGCTCAGACCTCTTGTCCCTCCCGCCTTCCTCTGGTGCTTCCCGCTCTGGCCCAAATTCTGGAGCCTTGATGAGCAGGGAGGAGTGGAAACGGGCTCGGCCACCTTGTCAGGCTGACTTTGGGCTGCGTTGTTGGGAGCGTGCCATCCCTGTTTGGAACAAGGCGGGGCATAAATAAACAAAGGCGGTGGCAGCACCCACGGAGACCTGCCCTGGGAACCTCCTGCTCCTCCTTGGCTGCAGGAGGTCGAGGCCCAGCACCTGGCTCTGAAATTCGCCCACCTTTGAGGGCCAGAGACCGGGTCCCTATACACACGGACCCTCCTTCGAGGCCGAGCCGCCTGCCCCCAGCCCCCTCCTGGTGAACCCCCTGCCAGTTAGTCCGGTGACACACTCACAGCCTGGATCGGCGCACGTCCCCTGAGTCAGGACACGGGGGAAGGATCACTGCCCAGCTGCAGGAGGGCTGCCTGAGAGACAGAGGGACGGACTGCCTGAGAGACAGAGGGACGGACTGCCTCGGCCCCCTCACCAGTGAGTGTGGGGAGCCCCCACCTAAGCCTGCCTCTCAGCTCTGGTGGAAAGACCCAGGTTCTCACTTTAAACCATTCCCTGAAGGAACGGGATGAGAAGAGATTGGGGGCGGGGGGGTAGGGGGGGTGAGAGGGATGCAGCAAAGAAACAGAGCACCGGGGACCTGCCCACCAGGTGCACACACCCTGCAGGGCTCCTGCCCACCCCGCCCAGCACAAGGGCCACTCTGTGGGCCGCTGGCCCTGCGGGGGTCTGGCCCACTCAGCCCAGCAGCCATCCTGCCCCTCAGGGGGCTGCCGGCACATCGCTGAGGCTGAGAACGCAGCAGACACGGCCCTCGCCTCCATCCAGCTCTCTGTGGGACAATCCCCACCTCCGCCAAGCAGGCATGCACCCCTTCCCCAGGGAGCCCTAAGACCCTCGGGGCTTTCTGCAGGGACCCCTGCCCCACACCCCACAGGCTCTTCTGCCCCTGGATCCCCCCAACCCTTTCCCCCTGAGGGGGTGAGGGGCGGGCAGGGCTCCCTGCAGGGTCAGGCCCTGGGACCCACGCCTGGCTCGGGGGTCGAGGTGGGAGACAGACGCTGAGGAGTGTGGGATCTGCAGAGACGCCGGCACAGGCCCTCGGCTGGCGTCCCAGCCCTGCCTCTGCCGTGGGAGGCGGTGTCGTAATGGAACCACAGCAGCCCCGCCACTAATTAGCAGTGACCTTGGCAATGTCCCTGGGCCTCAGTTTCCTCCCATAAAAGGAGGGGCGGGGGAGGTGATGACTGGCTGAGGGAGAAGCCAAGGCGTGGGGCGGGCTGGGGGCTGGCCCCGGGGCAGGGCACCGCCACCCAGAGAAACAGAAACCTGAGAACAGCGACGTGTTTGCTCAGCAACCTCCAGACAGACCTCAGCCTGTGTGCACTGCGGCCCCGGACCAGCCACTGGCCGGGGTCTGGGAGGCTGCCGACACCCCACCGGACCCCAGAGCTGCTCCAGAGCCGGCCCCCCACGCTCCACAATCAGCCTGGGGAGCCTGGTTTTGATGCTCCCCCGATCAATGGCCCCCCAATTTGAGAATAGCGGGGGGATTCCAGCCCAGAACTGCCCTCAACATCCCTTTTTTTGCCTCAGGATATAGTGCCACAGGCTGGAGAGAGGCAGACCTTGCCACCAAAGCCTTGTTTGAATCTGTGGGACGGTGTAGCCCATGCACGTAGCACGTCGCTGTCAGCAGGGTGGAGTGCAGCCGGGAGCATTCCCTGGCGGGCAGGGCTGGGCACAGGCTGCGGTCAGCCGTCCTCCATCCACCCACAGACCAGAGCCGGACTGCAGGCCTCCGGGACGGGACCAGCCCCTCCCTGCCACGGGGGCAGAGGAAACCATCAACCTATCACCTGACGGGGACCACCTGCTACTCCTGTCAGCTCCCTCCTACCCTCCCTCCCTCCTCAGAGAGGGCTCCTCCGAGAAGCTCATGTCCAGGTGCCCCAGGAGCCTCTGGGGGGAGGGCGAAGCCCTCGGGAGCCTGTGGGAGCACCCAGCCCGGCTGCACAGTCAGATGCTGCAGACGCCGGTGGGCCCCTGGGGCTGTTGCTTCTTCGGGTCCTGGGCTCTCCGTCCAAATTCTGCCAGGAGACAGCGGCCAGGGCTCCGTCCGTCCCTGAGGGCCTGGCCCCAGTGAGTGCTCGGTGTGGCTGTCGGACTCCAAAGGGGGCAGGCGTGGGGTGTGGGGACGGCCGCTGGCACCTCCCAGGCCAAACCTGGTTCACATGTTAGAAGCACATTCCCAAACCATGTGTTTAACCCGTGGTCATCTCGAACCCTGAGCACCGAGCTCACAAATAGTCTCTGGGCTTGTCCTCCACGGAGGCCGCCAGCTGCAGCTCCTCGAGCCCGGCTGCACCGGGGACCACGGGGACCAACAAGGGAGCCTTCGAGGGCGAGGCAGCCGGATAGAGAGGTGCCTTTGCAAGGGGACCTCACACGTCCCGGCCTCAGGCCGTCAGTTGGCTGAGTACAGGGCACCGTGAGGAGTAAGCCAGAGGCCTGCCTTCGGGGCCCCAGCCGGCATGACCACAGCCAGGACCACCAGCCTCCCCTGCAGGCGGCCTGGCCAACCCTCTTCCTGCCACTTGCCGGCTGCCTGGCCTCAGACAAGCTTCAGACCAGCAGGAGGCGGTCACACCTAACTTCTCACCCCGCTGGCGTGGACGGAGCTGGAGATGGTGCACCAGGCACACAGCTCCCGTCCTGTGACGCTGGCCTGTCACCCAGGAAGTGGGACCTGCCCAGGGGGCTCACAGGCATCCCGTGGATGGACGGTTGGTTGGGGTGGCTGGTCTGTGTTTTAGCTCTGGGGGGACAGCATGGGGCCACGGGGAACAGGGTACGGCAGGAACAGGGACGAAGGATGACCCACCCTTTGCCAAATCCTTTCAATCTGATTTTTTTCAAAAATGGGAATCGCATAGCAATATGATCAAGTCTGTTCCAGCAAGGAAGGGGGCATCTGAGGATGACCCCCGTTCACAGTATGTGCTGCCCCCTCTTTATGGGTAGGAAACAGTCCCAGGGGAGCTAAGAGCCTTGCTGAGGCGAAAAGAGGGCTGCATCCCGGTGTGAAAGGTCACTTTTAACACCATGCAACTGTTGTTCTGGCTCCTTTCTCATTAATTTGCTTTAAAAAGTCCACTGGGGAGCCCAGTCTGTGTGGCTTAGTGGTTGAGCATTAACCCTTGAACCAGGAGGTCAAAGTTCGATTCCAGGTCAGGGCAGATGCCGGGGCCCCAGTGGGGTCATGCGAGAGCCAGACAGTGGATGGTTCTCTCTCATCATTGATGTCTCTGTCTCCTCCCTTCCTCTGAAATCGATTTTTTAAATGTATTTTTTTAAAATAGGTCCACTGGTGAGAAGAGGCAGCTGCTCTCTGGCCTCTCTGGCTTCTGCATCACAAACCAGCTCACCTGAGGAGACCCAGCTTCTGGCCTCCTTAGGCCAGGGGGTCTGGGCAGGGGCCTGGGGACTCCTTCCAGGGTACCCTTTCCTGTGCCAGACACACCCTCACAGCAAACAGAGCAGCCCAGCTCTCACCTCCAGGGGGAGCCAGAGAGCCACTGGGGTTTGCATTATTTTGTGGAGTTTTTTGTGACATTGTTAATCCTCACCTGAGGATATTTTTTCCACTGTTTTTTTTTTTTTTTTTTTTAAGAGTGAGTGGAAGAGAGGAAGGAAGAGAGAGAGAGAGAGAGAGAGAGAGAGAGAGAGAGAGAGAGAGAGAGAGAGAGAGAGAGAGAGAGAGAGAGAGAGAGAAGAGAGAGAGAGGTGAGAGAAACACGTTGACTGGTTGCCTCCCATACAAGCCCAGGGAACGAACCTGCAACCCAGGTGCATACCCTTGACCAGGAATCAAACCTTGAAACCCTTCAGTCTGCAGGCCAATGCCCTAACCACTGAGCAACACCTGCCAGTCAATTTTGTGGAGTTTTTTTGTTTGTTTGTTTTTTAACCATTGGAGAGTTTCTAAGATGAAACTGGGAGGTCCCAACAGCCCGAGTGAGCCCCTCGAGATTCTGGAATGTTCCCTCTGATGGATTTACCGGGAGAAACCCATTGAAGTAACGCTAGAGAGTCCGCAGTCATTTCCGTAATTGGCCAGGAAAATCAACCCTTAGGAAGGCAGTGCTTTGTTTGAACTATGCCTTATTCCATCAGAATTTCATTAGAGCAATTATAGTTTAATGAATGTGGCTGAGAGCACGGATGGCCCTGCATTTCTCAATAGAGCGTATGTGCCCCGGCAATTAGCAGCCTGGAAATGAGCGGGACGGAGCCGTGCGAGGCGTGCGTAATGTTTTCATTACGGGGTTACAAACAATCTATTAATCTTCGTCTAAACACCCGGCTACATGCACGCATTCCTCACCTCGAGCTCTGCGCGGTGAAATCGCTTCCAGTAAACAAAGCACCTGCAGGAGGCAGCATGTCAGCGTGTGACTGAGGACGCCAGTCCAACACCTCTGTGGGGTTACAGTCTTCCCCAGCCTCCAGGGCGAGTGTCACAATCGCGACAGCTCCTGCAGGGCCCAGCCCACGGGCCTGCCCAGGTCCACCTGTCTGTCCAGGACACTCTGTTCAGTGCGCTCTGTGTTCAGGACTGTCTGTCTGTCCAGGCCTGCCTTCTACGGAGGCCTCAGTCCTGGGCCCACCCTGACCCTGCAGCCACCCACGGCCAGCCCGGGACCCCTCGGGGAACAGGCGGAGCTCGTTCCGGGAAACCTACCAGCCCTTCGTATGAACGGGTTTTTTTCCAAATGCAGGTAAAGCTGGATAATACAAATCTAATGTGGCTAAATCTCGTCTAATCTGCCCTTTATATTCTTCAACAGAAGTACATATCGTGTGAGCTCACTTATGTGTGGGATCTAAAAACACAAAACACACAAAACAACCGAACGCACAGACACAGGGCAGCTTGGTGGCTGCAGCGGCAGGTGGGCAGGTGACGGCGTTCAGACAGCACAAACTTCCAGAAAGAAAAGAGAAACGAATCCTGGAATGGCTCCTGCTGCGTGTGGGTGTGTTTCAATCCACAGGTGTTGCTGGGACCTGAAACCCTCCATTACTGTGCACTGGGAGGGACACTTTGGCCCCAATACAATTATCCTAAGATATATGAATTTATAGATTTCTTTTAATACAGAAAGATTTCAAAATGAACTTGGGATTGAAAGCAGGGGCTGAGGGGTACAGCGAGGCTGGGGGTGGGGGGGACTCAGAGCCAGTAGGTGCCTATGGAGCAGCCACTGCCCCGAGGAGCCTGCTGTGTGAGAGGGACCCTGCTCTCCAGGGGGACGGGGACCGTGGATGGAGGGGGGAAAGAACACCCAGCTAGAGGCAGAATGGAAGGACGTTCTCTATGTGACATCAGAAAGACCCTTCTGCAGACGCACCTGTGCTGAGAGCAGCTGGCCCCCAGGAGCGCTGTCTCCTTTCATGGCTGAGGGTCCTTTTCGCCTTGTCTGCTGGGAAGCTCAGAGTCCACGGCATAGTTACCCCCTCTCCGAATTGCGTAACATTTCTCTCTGCCATGTGTCACCCTCCCGTGGACTGTGTTTTCTTTCTTGTAAACAACCTCGGATTCCTTCTGGGAGCAGATGGGCGAAAACAGAGCGTTTGGAGGGAGAAAGCCCTGGAGCGTCAGAGAAGCCGCCCCTTCCCGCACCCACCCTGCACCCTGTGCCTCCACACGCAGACCTGCCGACCTCTGTGCCCACGGATCCTCCTCAGGGAACTCATTGCAAATGTGTGGAGTCAACACGTGGGGTGACGGTGACACAGCCACATACACGCCAAGACACAGATGGGGAGATAGTTCTCTAACAACACAGCCATGGGCCCTGGCCAGTTTGGCTCAGTGGATAGAGCGTCAGCCTGCGGACTGAAGGGTCCTGGGTTCAATTCTGGTCAAGGGCACATGCCCAGGTTCTGAGCTTGATCCCCAGTAGGGGGCATGCAGGAGGCAGCCCATTGATGGTTCTCTCTCATCATTGGTGTTTCTAGCTCCCTCTCCCCTTCTCCCTTCCTCTCTAAAATCAAAATATATTTAACTAATAAATACAATAAATAAATAATAAAAGCACAGCCATGAGATGGTACCGCGTCCTTTCGGAGTCACACATCAGTCCTGACTTAGTGATGCCAGGTGGACAGGATTCGGTACCAGCACAGCCCGGCGCACACGCACACGGCCGTAATTCACAGCATGGAGACTCCAGGTTCCTCTCTCATCTCCAACCTCAGGGGCTGAGCCCTTGCTCTCAGCCTTATGGGGTCCCGGGGGCTTACAGGAGGAATGCTCAGCAGGGGCACTGAGGCCTCCCCACCCCATCCCTGATCACAGTCACATGCCTCTGCCCTGCGACCAGCAGCCCTACCAGGACCTGAGGAGGAGGCTCCAACCCTAACCCAAACCCCAGGCCCCTCAGACGTCCCTCAGTCACCTCAGCTTCACCCCCACGGGGGACAGAGAGGCCTCTCAGGAGCTTTGGTGCTGAGACACAAAGTCAGCAAGAGGCCCAGGCCACGCCCCCTGCAGTGAGAGGGGGAGGAGGGCCGCCGAGCACAGACCTGATGTCTCAGCACGTCACCGGGAGGCCACCCTGAGTGCCGGGCCGGCTCCACCTGGCAGGCCCACCAGGTGGTGGCCTCCTCCAGGTGTCCTGGCTGGGCGTGTGAGCATGGCCTCCGCCCCAGCACAGGTCTCACCGAAGGCAGCAGTCCAAATCCTCCTGAGAACAGTGAGAAATGGGACTGGCCCCGTCTCACAGGCTGCCCCTCGCTGGAGCCCCCAGGTTTCCCCGGGACTTGGCTGGTTTGGGTAAAGTGGGTCCCCCGGCCTGGAAAGCTCCCGTCCTGGGCACACCGTCAGATGTTTGCCCCGAGTCCTGGGTGGGTCCCCAGGCCCAGCTTTGGAGCTGTTTTCTCACCTCCCGGGGCCTGGGGGGATCCCTAACCCTCCAGGAGGCAGACTGGAGCCCCAGCGCCACAACCTACCAGGGGAGGTCCTGGCCCACCCTCCCTCAGCCCACTTCCCATTCACTCTCCACCATCTGGAGCAGAGCCTGGGATCAGGGCTCCTGGAGAATATAGGGAGGATCCTCCTGCTGCTTCCAGCCGCTGGGGGTGCCGGCATCTTGGCTTGTGGCTGTGGCACCCCAACCTCTGCTTTGGTCCCGTGGCCTCTCCGTCTTCACAGCATCCTCCCTCTCCTTGCGAGGACAAAGCCAGGGGACTGGGGCCCACCCCATCCAGGGTGACCTCCTCTTGACCACATCCACAAAGACCCTGTTTCCAAATGAGGCCCGTTCTGTGGGGCTAATGGTCCAAGTGGGTCACAGGGAGCCTCCCAGCCACGAGAGAGTCACCCCCCTTTTCGGGGCCTGAGGCAGGAAAGCCTCAGTCCATCAAGCATCCTCCTTAGTAGACACAAACCTCTCATGGGGACCATCAGGGCTGGAGCCCAAGGAGGGGAATGTTTTTCTCTTTAAATCTACCTGGAGGAAGAGACTTTCTTCTCTCTTTATGCCATTATCTTGATCCACCTATAAACTTTGATGAGCGTTTATAGTAGAGCAGAGTGAGATGCGGAGTTCTCACGCCCTCAGACAGCGGCCCGTCGCCAATCCTCACGTTACCTCCGAGTTAGAACCGCCGAGGCCGTCCTGATCATTAACTAAACTCCGCAGTTTCCTCCCCTGACATTCTCCTCGGCCCCGGGGCCTAGGCCCGAACCCCAGGTGGCGCTTGGTGGCACGTCCCCTCATGCTCCTCGGGGCTGTGCCGGCTCCTCAGACTTCTTGTGTTGGTGACCCAGAGCAATCTGTCCTCACGGCTCATCCCTGCAGACCTTCACCGTGATTGCCAGACTCCTGGGACCAAGGGCTCCCTCGGTGCCCTCCACGGAGTGGTGCCCGGTGGGCATCCGTCAGGACCCGGGGCCCGTGGCAGCCTCCAGGAGTTCACGAGGGGTCAACGCACATCCCTCGGTACCCGGGAGCAGCTGTGGGCGGAGGGCCGGGACGGTAATCTAATATCTGCCTCTGACTACAGGATCGCACGCGAAGCCGCGCTCCCTTCATTTACTCGGCTGCCAGACCCTTAAACCAGCAACTTTAAAGGAACGTGGAGCTTTCCAAATTAGCTTTGAATCTGAGAATAATAAGACAGCAAGAGCCGCATTAGCGAACTCACAGTGAGCTCTGCGGACGCATTTGCAGGTTGCTTGATTTTCTTTTTTTCCAAAGGGAGACAACAGTTGTTCAGCTTGGGGGATGTTCCGGGCCCCCTGGGGACACAGCTGGGGGGGGTGGGGGGGAGCCGGGGCCCCGGAGGCGTGGGCTGTGGTTCCCGTGCACCCGCGTCGACTCCAGAACGACATGAAGTTTCTTCTCCCAGGTCAGCTCACAACATTTGCTCAGGTGTCAGAAAACTGAGTAATAACTGGAGCCCCTTCACCATGGAGCTGGAGCTGCTTTCCCGGAGGGACTGCCCTGCACGTCTGGTCCTCAAACCTCTGGGTGTCAAAACAGGACTCGCAGCCTTCACCCGGGGCCCACGGCAACATCGAGCAGTGTTCCCCAAACTTCTCTCATGATGAGAATCACCTGGTGGCGTTGTCAAACTACAGATTCCCGAATCCCAACTAAGAAGTGCTAAACTAGAATTTTTGGGAACATATAGGTAAAATTGTATACTCTAGAGCACTAGTTAAGTATACAATTTTACCTATATGTTCCCAAAAATTCTAGTTTAGCACTTCTTAGTTGGGATTCGGGAATCTGTAGTTTGACAACGCCACCAGGTGATTCTCATCATGAGAGAAGTTTGGGGAACACTGCCTACTGCTTGGAATTGGCATCACTGTTGTCTGCACCAATAGCAATGCCTTCCTGCCACGGATGTCGCTGTCCCCTCCCCTTTCTCATCAACGCCCACCACCTGTGTCTCCTCACTGGGACATCACCTGTGCTTCTGCCCGAATCAGTGCTTCCCAAACAGCTGTTCCAGTTGATCCCGAAGAAACGCTTGTTGCCTCTCACTTTGAAAGGCCTTTTATTTCTAGGCTAGCATATCCTTGACGACAAGGCCCCAGCGCCTGAGCCCTCGGCTGGCCGGACTGGCTAGAGCAGGGTCAGGGCTGAATGAAGTCACGGCCACTCAGGAACTCAGCCCCGGCCTCAGCCAGCTCTCTGGACACTCCCCTCCCACGCGGGTCTCCCAGGGGTGTTCAGGGCAGAGATTCGGGCCCTAGATCTTGTTCCAGGTCTTGCCAGCCTCTTGGCTGCAAGCCAGCAGGAACATGTATCTGTTGTATAAAAAAACAACAACAAAGAACTGCTCTAAACTATGTCTACGTGAATGTACGTCCATAGATACACGTAGTCATCTTCATAGAAAATACACATTTTATCCACTTGTGTTTATGCCACTATATAACTTACACAGAACCACACACATTGTGCACACACATCAGGAAGCAATTGCGTCGTGTGTGGACTCGCTTTCTTGCAGGGCCGGTCTCCAGTCGGCCGTCGGTATTCAGGGAGGTCCTGCTCTTCGAGGTCACCGTGAACCCCGTGTTACAAACACCGAACCCAGGCTCCGAGGGAGACACAGCGGAGGTGACAGGAGCCTCTGCTCACGTGTTCATGATTCCATCAACCTCGACGCACGTGTTTCTGTTTAATCTGATCTGATGCGTAGCGTGGGTCTGTTCACACTGAACTCACAGCCAGCAGCTCTGACTCCCGCCTGCACCAGCTCACCCGCCCAGCTGTTCTTTCCGGGAGGCACCTCGCAGCCTCCGTGAGCTCGGGACACAATGTGAGGAACGTGGCTCTACACAGACAGAAAGAGCACGTGTGTGCATTCTGAGGGGCGCTTGTCCCGCCCCGCCTGGGAGCACGTCGGCCACACGGGTTCACGCAGTGCCAGGCGTACTTTGTGGTTTTTCTGGGACCCTGATGACTGTGGGCTGCTCTATTTTCTCACATTAAAGGCTTAACACTGACATGATATCTACTCAAAATTTACTTCTTTTTAAGCATCGAAAGTTGGACTACTTTTTCGGCATTCCCAAAACTTTTGGCAACGGAAATGTATTGCCATTAATATTTAGGTCAAAACACATTTTTAAAGGAGGAACAAAAGCCGTATCCAGTTCCGAGCCTGGAGCTCATGTGGCTGCCGCATCATCCCCCAGAGAAGAACATCTGGGACCCAGCTGCAGGGCAACCCACACGACCAAGGTGGGCGGGGGGGGGGGGCGGGGGGGGTGCCCCTACGCCTGTCTGCCTGTTGAGCGTGCTCTCACCGTGGAAAGGATGGGAAGCCACAGGAAGAGGGAAGCAAGCCCCTCCCAGTTGCCCTTGTGCACCGAGCGGCGGGCTGTGAGGAACCCGAGGAGAAGCATCTGGCCAGGAGCTGAGCAACC